AGCTCTAGTATGTAGCTACATACGTACAAATGGGTTCTTTCTTATGCTAAGTATTTTTCCTTTTTTGTGGGAAATGACATAGAAGCTGGTGGTGCTGGACCACTAAAGAAACAAAGTGATATTGAAAGGTGACAAAATGATTAAAAAATCCCTAAAATATATAAATATCAAATAATTATTATGAAATATAACAATTATTGTGTAGTCCTTTAAAATTTGTTTGATATTTTAATTTTTGTGAAGTGGCGTGTTTAACCCACCTAGTAAAAATCACTGACAAGTTAACATTGAAAAATACTACTTTATTTGATGAAATGACTATAATAGAATAGTAATTAGCTACTGCCCCTGTTCAAAGTTATTCATCAGTGAAATTTAACTACTAAAAATCTGTGACAAGTTCCAATCGAAAAATAACTTATTGTTTTTTTTTTAATGACTGAAACGGACTAGCAAAATGTTTTAAAGTTTGTTCATCTTTCTTTTATTTTTCAGATCTGTATAAAAGTTTTTTTACATTAAAACTAAATGACAAACAAGTCTCTAAAAACTACAAAATAATTATCACATTTTGCAATATTTATTTGTTATTTACATATTTTAGGAAATTTTTTGTCATTCTCCCTTGTAAGAATGTGAATTTATACAATTATATAAAAGGACTGATTTACAAAAAATGATTAAAATGCCTTTAAACATTTAGAAACTGGGCTCATTTGTAGACTCAAAAAATTCAGAGATCAACTGTAAAGATTGAAAGAATTATTTTTTTTATAGAAGAAGAAATATTATAAAATAAAAGGGTTAAGTTATAACCAAAGGGTCAAGAAAACAAAAGCATTAGAAAAAGGAATAGGAACCTTATAGCTTCTAACATTACCTAATTTTAATTTTCTGTATGGTTTTGCTGTGGCCTTATAGTAAAAAAAAAAAAAAACAGGAAAAGAAAAAGAAAAACGATTGGAGGTTGACACTGACAGTTGCAAACCATTGCATTAGACTTGGAGTAAAACATAAATGTTATACTCATCAAAGCATGTTGTTAAATTATTATTTTGTTTTTTTTTTAATTGAGAGAGTGCATGAGTATTTCTCTTTATACGCAATCTTATCCATTCATTTAATTTTATATCTGTCCATTTCAATTTTTTAATGGGTTGTGATTTTTTATTTTGAAAAAGCCTAATCATGTATGATTTTTTTCTCATCTGAAATCATCAAGGATTTTTGGCCAAAAAAAAAAGAAGGAAACATTAAGGATTGAACTGTGAAACAAATATGCTTATACACAAAACACATAACTTATTTTGTTACTATTATTGAAAAAAAAAACTCAATAACAAATATGGAGATGAATGAATGATACATCCAAAAATTGTACCCCTCCTATTCTTAATATAATTCACATTCTACTAAAAATTTGTGATCCTTTTACCGAAACCAAATGTAGCCTTTCTTCTTAGTTACTTTGCATAAAAATATTGAGTATAGATACTTTCTTTCAATTTTTATTCTTTCACATTTTTTTTATGGGTAGAGTAAGAGATTATTTTAAGAAAGAAATATTTTTAAAGAAGATGTATTTTATAAAGATAAAGTGATTTTTTTTATTTTCTAAGCAATACCAATAATTCAATCACTTTTCTTTTTTGACCAGAATATTTAATCACCTTTCTGGACTATTAAAAGGGACTTGAATTCATATAGGACCGGGAATAAAAGGATACTTTTTTTTTTTTTTGCCAGCCGAATAAAAGGATACTGCTACTTAGGACACGTACTGATTTAACGCAAGCATGTAGTATAATTATTGACATTTACACAGATTTATTTGTTGTATTAATTAATGATTAATAACGAGGAGGACTGGAATTTGGTATCTGCTGCAAGCCTGCAACTTGTTTTTCGGCAACACATTTGTCTCGAAAGTAGCACCACACATGAAGAATCCAATTCTTGGATTCTTATTATGGTGTTACGATACGGTCAAATTGAAAATATTGAAACTGTAGGGTGCCCTTTCTAATTAATTATTAATTAATACTCTATCTCATAATTTAGGACCCCTGTTTCGTTTTTTTTTTTTAAAGGAAAGTGCACAGTCTAAGAGAATGGGGAGACTGATACTCATTTCCGTGCCAAATTATAAAACAAATATAAAATTACTTTTTTTATTTTTATATATAATGTGTTTTTAACACAGTTCTTCGTACTGATAAAAATTTATTATTTAATTAAAATTATATAAAATCATGATGATTTTTTTAGTTTTGCCCTAAAATTAGTGTCGCAGTGTTGATGGATAAAATACACAAATAGTATCTCCATTTTTCATGATAAAGGTAACATTGTTCAATTATTTAAAAATATCATGACACTCTTTATATTCAGGAACAAAATAAACTTAAAAAAAAAGTCTTATATATAAGGACATATGGAGTTTTTTTTTGTCCCATAAAATATAAGACAATTTAAAAAAAATAAAGTTTCATTAATGTTGGTGGTTTGGTTTGGTTTTACAGTATAAGTTATTAATGCAAAAGCCCCTAAATTTAACTTAGTCAAATAATTATATTAAAAAAAAACTTATATAGTTAGCCACAAATATTTAAGGTGCCTGCTTTCAATTAAACTAAAACATGTAAATATCTTATATATGATTTATTTCACAATAAATTTTTATTATTAATACTATTAATGCATTAAAGTCCAATTATCATAATTTGATAAAATAAAAATATATAAAAATAAGTACACAAGTCTTTTCTTTGAAAGTACATGAAATATATAGAGATAAATTTGAAGCTTTGCATTATCATTTTCTATATTCGTTTATTTTTCAATGAATTGTGCGGTCGTTACTTTCGAGAGATCTAAATTTGTCCTTTGTCAAATGTTAACAAAATTCATACAGGCAGGTTATACGAATTCTCAACTACAATAACAAATACTGTATTTTCATTATATGTGTAAAAACTTTAAAATACATATACTTTCTTTATTTAAAAATATAAAATATTTTTAATCAAATTTTATCTCAATAAATTAATTAATTATTTAAAATTAACTCTATCTTTTTATATTTATCTCAATTAAACATCCTACAATAAATATAAATCATTTATCATTAGGGACACTTAAAAAAATAATGATTATACTTCGAAAGACTAAAAATATCTTACATTTTTAAATATCTGATTTCTTAAAAAATTATTTAGATTTTTAAAGGGAGAGAGTATCTATATAATTATTACTCAAATTTCATAATTATAGTTGGCTAGAACTTAACATCATAATCTGAAAATTTATATTTTTTTTATTTCTGTTGTTAAAATTTTCAGTTTGAAATATGAAAAGTCTATACTTTTTGATACCTTAAATCGTTAATACTTCTTTTAGTTCTATTTATGAGGCAAATTAAAAAAATGTTTTCAACTTTGTTTATAAAACATATCATTAATTTTCTACAACATATTATTAAACATTTATTAAATTTTGCATAGTAATTTGAATAGAATAAAAGCATATCTTTTTTGGCTCGTTTGAAGCTCTCTGTTTTTTTTTTTTAACCAAAGTTTGAAGCTCATTGAAATCTACTATATTGGACTCAAACTCAAACATAATGTTCTGTCAGTTGATTCTAATTTGTCTCATTACAAAACTAAGGATGAAGTGTAACAAGACCTCCATGTGAATAGAAGAATCATTTCACCCACTTTAATGTGGGTTAAAGCTCTAATCTTCTGCTTCAAATCTTCCCCAAAGAACAAAAATATTTTTCAAAATTCTCTAAGTTTGGTTTTGAAGAAATCAAGCTATAAAATTGGTGGAGCTTGAGTTCAATATAAAAAATGGGACAAGATAGTTATTTGACAAAAAATTGAAATGCCAAACAAGTATCCAATAACTTAAAAAAAATTACTTCCTCCATTAGAAAATATAAAATATCTTTAATCAAATCTCACTTCTAATAAAATAGTTACTTGTATTCAAATTAAGCATATTTTTTTATATTTATATCTATTTAATAAGATATTTTATTTTAAAATAAATATAAAATAATTTATTTAATAAGATACTTTAAAAAAATAATAATTATATTTTAAAAAATTAAAAATATTTTATTCTTTTTAATATTTAATCTTTTAAAAAAAATTACCTTAACATCACATTTTGTGATAGTGGTTTACCGTTTGAGAATTTGGGAAGATTTTTCAGTCTTTCTTTCTCGATTAAAATATTTGGCGCAGGGCGTCGCAGACGAATCCGACGCTAATGATCGCGTCACCATGTCTCTATCAGATCGCCCAACCAGGTTGCAGTTAGTGCTTCCAATCGTCTGCGCTAACCTTCACTCTCTAACTTTACAACACCGGCTGTTCTCATAGTTACGAATCATTTACCTGTATTCCATCAAGATCAACGGTCAAAATTAATACATTTAAATATGATTACCGCAGGTTATTCTGCTCTCCCACTTTTGTACTTTAATGTGGGTTACACGAGCGAGCCACGACAGCACCAGCGTCTGCCACTAAAATCTCTCCGCCGTGGCCACTGATGAAAGATGGACAAATCGCGAAAAGACGAAGTCACCCTTCGACCGGTCCACATGAACCGTTCAGACCAAGGGTAATTTTGGGATTTCAACATAACCCTTTTTCTAAAGGGCCTGCCATTGCCCACAGCGAGCATGTGAAGCTTGTTCGTTCTTACACCTGGGCCCATTTTCCGTATTTAACAACGACCCCCTTTGATTATCGAAATAAATATACAGAGCCGCCCTTTGTTTCCGACTTGGCTCAGGGCTTGTTACGTAATTATATTCTTCTTCTCCGTCCTACTCCCCCTTCACTAGATCCGGTAGGCCTTCTGAGAATTCTCGCTATACATAATAAACACGTTATATCTTCTGATTTTGCTCTTTCGCTTTCTATAGTTCAGTCTTCGTTTGTTATTCCGTAAGCTGATTGTTTTATATCTTGAGATCTTTTCATTATATGAATTGTTTGTTTGATGTTGCTATGAGGTGATTTCTGGGTTCATCTGGTTTTTAGTTCCTTCTGTTGCTCCTGCTTCCGTTCACTGTAATTGTCACGGTGGTTTTCAAACTACGGGAGTATGGTTTTGGATTCAGGGTTCTTTCGGGTGTCAACTGAACTTGGCTTGTGAGTTTTTACTGAGTTGTCTTCTTAGTGAATAGCACGCCAGATTTGGGTCTGGAAGTTCCGCTTTTTCAGGCTGGAGATTTTTTTTTTGAGGAAACAGTAGTTTTCGATCTGGTTATTTGGCTCCTTTCAACATTCAGTATGATGACGAAGAAAGCAATCAATTCAATGAATACCATGGATTCAATATTCATTCTTATTAAACCACTAAGTAGTTTTTTTTTCCAGTTTTCAGTCAGTTGTCTTCATTTTTTTGAGCTAAGGCTCCGGGAAATTTGCGGATTTTCTACCCAGTTTGCTTTGATCTGCTGTTCTATTTCATGCGACTAAATTCTGTATTACTTGTTTATTTTTTTATTACAGATTCTGTCTGTATTATTATGAACGTGATTATTTACTGGCAATTTACCTTGATTATTGTTGAGTATATGATGATTGAGTGTTTGATTACGGTGAACTATGCTAGTATGTTTGGTTGGTTTTTTGGGTTCTCGTTGGATGCCGTCTTTTCTATTACTTCCTACTCTGAAGTTTGGATTACTTTATACGCTCAAATTTTATGCAGAAGTAAATTTTCGTTCCTTCACTGGCTTTCTGGAGATTTTATGTCTGGACAGAAGAGAATTTAGGAAATAAGAAATATTTATGAGCTTCTAATACCTTATTCATCTGCAGTTTTTAATCTGTGGGACGAATAATTTATTTGGGGAGGTATTGGCATTCTTCGGTATACATGGAAAATTGGTTTCAGTAGGAAAATTCCCATTTAATTCGTACACTGAAAGGGCTTTATGACTTTGGAGTTTCATTTAAATTCAGTGGCCATGGATCCTACCCTTGTTAAATTAAGGCAGGTCAGAGTACTTCTTTCTTATATTTTTATTTTTCCAATTTTTTTTGGTCTATTTTGTTTGTCATTTTGGTTCTGTTTCACACCATAGCGAAATTTGCACTTTCTCTGTGAAAAAAATTCTTTAAGCTGCTTTTTAATTAAATGAAATGAGCTTTATTTCTGTATTCTGTTTTGAGCGAAATTCTCTACTATAATGCAAAATTCTCTTGTTTGACATTTGACAGTTTTCCCCCACTGAGAAATGTTTATTACAAATTGTCGAAACAAAATTATATTTCTTTTAACTTCTTGTTACTGGAATTCAAGATGTCTCCCTTTCTGTTGCTTAAAAAAGTCCCCCCCCCATCTTTAAGAATGACATTATACTCTTTGGAAATTTTAATTTGGGTCTTTGTTTCTGATTTGTTTTGTAAAACCTTTCATGAAATATGAATTTAAAGGCATGGTGTCTAGGTATTCTGTTTTTGTTCTTTTATTTGTTTGGAAATCTGCATAAGAAATAATTCTGCTCTGCCAGATATCTGATCATGCAATTCAAATGTCAATTTGGGTGAATGCTGTTACTTTTGTTTTGTTTTATCTTTTATTTTAAAATTTTTATGGACTTATTTTTTTTCTTTATAATGATTAGAATCTTCAAGAACATCTGCTGTTGTGAATGATTTTAAAAATGATTTGAAAACACATGCTAATATATATTATATGGATCAACAAGTTTTTACTTTTTATTTTTATTTTTATTTTGTTTTTGTGGCCTGCTTAACAGCAAACTTGCAAAGGCACTGTCTCCATAACCGAATTGTGTTAAGATTAGTGTCAACGAAAAGAAAGATCTAGCAGCAGTTGTTATGCATAGAAAGCAAATTGTATGTAAACATTATACTTTGGAATCTGCAAGTATGGAAAACAACTTTCATTAGAGAAGAGACCCAATGATGACTTGAGACTGAAGTTGTTGATTTTCATGTATACTCTCACGACAATTGTCTTAGAAGTTTTTTCATTGAAAATGCTCATCTCACCTATTTCCTTTGTTATTCTATACGTTTTCTTCATTGCCATTCTGTTAATGACTCTTCAGTCTTCATTAACTTGTGCTTCTTATGATTGTTGAACCACCCCTGCTTTCCCCCCATGGCCTAGCATTAAGTACCTGCAAACTAAATTGTTATATTTACTTGTACAGTTTTGTTTCCTTCTGTATGATTTAGATTTGATTCCTTTTTGCTTCTGATGATTCTTAATAATAATTATGTGCTACGTAACTTTCATTTGTTCTTTGTCTTCAGTCATGATAATATAGTATGTCCATTTACACTTCCCCTGATTGTCAATGTACCTGTAACCCTTGCAAGTTGCAACATGTCATTCAGGAACTCTTCTCTTCTGTTGATGTCTGAGCTCGTGTGAAAATGACATAACTTTTCCTTTTTCCTTGAATCCCTTGAATTTATTTCTCTCTCTGGGCATAAAGGGCTACATGGATGTATGTTGTGTGTTGAAGAATGATTAATCTTCTATCCCTTTAGATTTTAATTAAATTTTCTGAAAATGAATTTCCTTTTTTCTTTGTCAGGGTTGATGAAGCTCAATGATTTGTCCAAAAGGAGCACAGGAAGCTCCAGTGAACTCTTTACATTATTGTTAAGCAATCTTTCGAAAGGTTTCTTTCCAGGAGACGTTATAAGATACTTTTGTTAGTGTGGCTTTGGTGTAAGATTTGTGCAACCTTGTCCTGGAGTATAGTGAAAATGGACAGATCAGACACATCGGGTTTTGTAAGTGGTGGAGCTTCTAGATTGGAATTTCTTCCTAGTCATTTATCTCTGATGTATATGTAGAACTAGATATCAGAGTAGCATGTGGTGAAGTGTTCTGCTTAGTTCAACCTTTTGTAGTTGTAGTGCACAACATCTGGATAATGGATCTTAACAAGACAGCTGTACTGTGTCCTGTTGATGCTGAACTTGGGAAAGATGATAATTTTGGTGATACTGCATTATGTTTGAACGGCCTTACGTTGGGAAAAGCCAATGGAACCAATTACAGGCATACTGGGAGCAATCTTGGGATGAAGTTTTCCAATGCTTTTGATGATGGTTGCAGATTGGTTCTGGGATTGGGCCCACCACCAAGGGCATATCATGATGACACCTGCACTTTGGGGCTTAATAAGAAGAAAGAATTCGCCACCCATTTTCCTCAGCTTATGCCATCGGAGGGTGATTCAATCTTGCAACTTGGTCTTTCTGGAGGAACTAATGATGCATCTAGTGTGATGGACTACTCATACTCAGCGGAGACTGATGTAAACATGCCATGTCTTTCGAGCCAAGCATCTGCTGGAAATAATTATTCTATGATACCTGTTGTTGACGAGGGTTCTACCTCAGCAAAGAAATCAGGTGGCTATATGCCATCACTTCTTTTGGCTCCAAGAATGGACAATGCCAAAATGTCAGTGCAGAGACAGGAACTGCAAATTCTTGGAACAAAAACCCAGCTTTACCAGGAACTTTCCAATGGCACAAGGTGCTCCGTTAGCACCATGTCTGGGTCCCAGGCCACAATGGTGGGTTCAGAGAACCGCATGAGCAATCCAAAAAGATGCAAATTTTTTGGCTGTACAAAGGGAGCACGCGGTGCTTCAGGCCTTTGTATTGGACATGGGGGTGGTCAGAGATGTCAGAAACCAGGGTGCAACAAGGGTGCTGAGAGCCGCACTGCTTACTGTAAGGCCCACGGTGGAGGGAAGAGGTGCCAGCATCTTGGGTGTACTAAAAGTGCTGAAGGGAAGACAGATTATTGCATAGCACATGGTGGTGGCAATCGTTGTGGGTATCCAGGTGGGTGCACTAAAGCTGCAAGAGGTAAGTCAGGACTTTGCATTAGACATGGAGGAGGTAAGAGATGTAAGGTAGAAGGTTGCACCAGAAGTGCTGAAGGGCAGGCTGGTCTGTGCATCTCTCATGGGGGCGGACGCCGTTGTCAGTATCCGGGATGCACTAAGGGCGCACAAGGGAGTACCATGTTTTGCAAGGCACATGGTGGTGGAAAGCGTTGCACTTTTCAAGGTTGTACCAAAGGTGCTGAAGGGAGCACCCCATTGTGCAAAGCACATGGTGGAGGGAAGCGCTGTCATTTCAATGGAGGTGGTATATGTCCTAAGAGCGTCCATGGAGGCACAAACTTTTGTGTTGCCCATGGTGGTGGAAAGAGGTGTGCTGTGCCAGGCTGCACCAAGAGTGCACGAGGCCGAACTGATTGCTGTGTCAGGCATGGTGGTGGGAAACGGTGCAAATTTGAAGGGTGTGGAAAGAGTGCACAAGGTAGCACAGATTTCTGCAAGGCTCACGGTGGAGGGAAGCGATGCAACTGGGGAGAAGGAAAATGTGAGAAATTTGCAAGGGGCAAGAGTGGTCTGTGTGCAGCACACAGCAGCATGATGCAAGAGCGTGAAACTGGCAAGGCGAGTCTGATTGCACCAGGACTCTTCCAAGGTCTCGTACCTTCTGCTTCTGCTGCCTGCAGCAGCATGGACAACAACAATTCATCTTCAGGAGTAAGTGTTGTGTCTGATTGCTATGATTCCATGGAAAAACCTGCTAAAAGACAACACCTTATACCAGAAGAGGTTCTGGTTCCACTCTCAATGAAATCACCGTCATATTTAAGCTTGTTGATAGCCAAGAAGCCAGAGGAAGATAGAACTGGGCATGTTGCTGCTGTTGGCTGCAGTGGTGTGAAGAAAGGCCTTGATTTTAGCCTGCCAGAGGGCAGGGTCCATGGTGGCGACCTCATGTTGTACTTTGGAGGGAGTCTCAAGAACGCACTTGACGGTGTTGAAGGGAGTCAGTCTAGTGACTCAAGAGATGTAGGTTGTCGTTCTAGGATCCAGGGACGTTTCGTGCTTGGATTTGTGTATATTGTTTGTGCTTGTTCAATAAAACCTCGTGTATAGACTTCAGTTTGTTGTCGATGGTTAGGCTTTATTGTTTGTGGGTCTTCATACATGTTGTGGATTTCATTCTTCGTGGTATGGTGGGCCATGTTAAAAAGTTCCTATATCCAGCTTGCTGCCTTGAACAGCATAATGTTTAAATGCCTCAATTTATGTTCTTGCCACAATTCATGCATTTTGGTGTTTGTTTCTAGTTTATCAAAGGTTTAACGTGATTAGTGTGTCTGGTTTCATATTAGGAACCGCCAATATTGTAGTCCAATCATGCACAATGTTAATATATATTAGGTTTGCTTTACTTATTTGATACTGCTTTTTCATATAAGATATTTAATTAACTTTCATTCTTTAAGAAAGCTGTTACTATCATTAAAAATTGCTTAATCTTTTCATGTCTGCCTTTGTATGTATATTCATGATCTCTGACTTAATTTAATAGTAGTCAGTAGGTTGATCATGACTTAATTTAGTAGTAGATTTACGTTATTTTCGTGCAAACGACCTTGCGTCACAATGACACTAAGCACTTCCCTTAAATTCTTAAGTAAACTTTGCATGTGACAATACCCTTTGGAAATGTATAAAAAATGGAAAAAAAAAATTCATCGAAGAATAAAAAATAATTTACAATATTATAAATATAATATTTAATTGAAAATAATGATCAAATTTAATGATTTTTATTTTTTAATTAAATGTTTTTTTTTTTGTTTATATATCGTTATTGTGGTATTTGAGACACTCCTGCCAGATGCTAAATATTTATAATTGAATTGAATTCTTAGATATCACTTTGTTTTAACACTTCTTTCCCCACTAAACCTTGTTCAGTTTAAAAAAAAAAATCATTACATTTCATAGACCCAAAAAAGCCAAAAATGATGATTGGCCGATTGCAATACAATGGAAGGCGATCGAAGGGTCATTGGCCCCAGAGAGGGTGCCGTACGTCGGCAGTCTCTCGTGGTGAAATAGATCAAAAGCAAGAGAGAACGAAGCAGGCATTCGCATTTCAGTCGACGAAGATGCGAACAGCCACATAAACGAAGAAGACGAACAAGCGGGTATGTTAAATAGTAACAAATAGCACTTTGGCGTGCCAGGTTACTTCCTGCATCATTCTGACTTGTCGACTGGTTGACAATTGAAGCTTCCCTATCAAGGAAGATCAATGTAGAGCTCTAAACAGTAAACACTTGTGATCGCACTTAAGTGCTTCGTACATTAGCGAGTATAAATATGACCTCAGGTCGGTCTGTCCACGAAGAATTCAGATTCTGAAAAGAACTAGATTTTTCTTCCACGCATCTCTGACTCTCCGATTTCATGCGCGAAAATTCTCCGTGATTTGCTTTAATTTCCTTGCTTAACTTTCAACCTTTTTTTGTTCTGACTTTCTTTTCACGATGTAGCACCCTGTTTTTTCTTTGTTTTCTGCTGAGATTTGACCGTATTGCGTTGCATTGATGAAATTCTACAGCGGATTCGGTAGTTGAGAGTTGAGACTGATAGATATACGCGGAATACGAATTTTTCCTGTTTCTGTCAAAGTTCGACCGGTCAAGATGTTTCAATTTGACAGCTTCTGATTCTTTGTCTGGAATCCGGGAATAATCATGGAGAAATCTCGCAGTAACAGCAAGATCAAGATTCCGAAGGCGAAGGCTTCGAATGAGAATATTTCACCGATGAAATTAGAGACGGAGGATCAAATGATCATTGGAAGAGGACGCTTTCACCAATCGATGGCGCTGAGTCCGACCTTACAATCCTTTGCCGAAAATCTTGATATTAACTCCCCGCTTGCAAGATACCTACGCGCCGGATCTCCGATTTCCGGTAAAGTCTCGCCTTCTGGCGAGTCTTTCAATTCTCCGACTATTGGCTCCCACAAGCCTCGGTCTGCAATAGTGCAGCAGTATAACAGTAGCAGTGGAGGGAGTAGTAGCTGCGGCTCTCGAAATAGGCTGTCAATTTCGCCGCTATCTTCAATTGAGAATTTGGAGATGATGCCGCTGATGGCGTCGCCTGTCTACGGAACGCCTGTAAAGGCGGAAGAAGAAGTTCTTGTGATGGACGACATCCAGGTGAGGCCATCAACATCTGGAGGGAAGAGGCTCGGGATAGACGTCGCGAAGAAGGTTGGTCCGCGCCATATACTAATCTAACAGGCTCAGGTTTTTCCTTCTTGTTTATTCGTCACTGCTCCTTAATATTTATTTATTGGTGTACCTAGTGTTACTGTAAGAAACATAGAAGAACGGTACATTTTTTCAGTGGCTAGAATTACTGAATTAAAAAACTGACACATCATATTACTGGGAACGAATAAAATTAAGATTGGATTGTGAATTGAAGAACGGGCAATATGAAGGAGCCCAAGTTAAAATTTTAGGTTCATGTTCAAAATGGGTCCCAATGGAGTTATTTGAAAATAATTTGGGACTCGCTCACCTACACCATGCATAGAATAAATTTGCAGGATACCCCAATTTTTTCAAGGATAAAATGGACTCGATTATGTGAACTACACGTTAATTTGAAAGACTAACTCCAACAGTTAAACAACGAGAAAAAGATTATGACATATACTTTTTCAAATCATACTGTTCAACTGTGATTATGATCAGAAGTATACTTATCCTAAAAAATATATAATCATTGTTTACATGGAATTCCGCCTGGAAATTTGTGGCAAAATTTTTAAATTCTTGGGTCTAAGTTTGGTCAAAAAGAAATTTGTTTTAACAGAAGTTAAATTTATCCAAGTTTTAGTGCTGAATTACATCTTTAAAACTTCTCAATTTGTAATACTGATAGGAGAAACTTCTGTGTGTCGAAGAGATTTTCCTCGTTAACTTATGCTAGCTTTTATTTATTTTTTGTCTTGTCTTTTGCCTTTTCGATCATTTTGATGCTAGGACCCTGTTTTCTGCAGGCTTTTCATTGTTTTTCGGGTTGAATTCACATTACGTATTTGAAGGATCATGAAAATTAAAAGTAATTGACAAGGGTTCAACTGTTGAGGGAAAATAATGATGAGATAATCAAGAAGGATTCAATTAATGTTTTAGTGATTTTTTGTTTGTTTGTTATGACTTGATTTTGTTTCCTATTAGGCTTTCTTAGATTATTTCCTATTTTATGCCTTCTTTTACTTGAACTTTAAGTTAGGTTTATAATTGTATTTAGGGCCTGATAAATAGCCCTGAAATTATTCGGATGATATACCGTTTGATGAATTGAATTATATTGAGAACTTTATGGTCGTTCCCTCCCTTAATTTGGTCTAGCTCTCCCCTTCTTTCCCCTTGTCGTTCAACAACTGTGTTGGGCGATAGTATTTGATAGCTTGATACAGCTACGGTTGTTTACTTTGGTGGATTGACGTCATGCAGTTTGCAAATGGAAAAGATCAGCGTCCAGTTCGTCTTTCCGGAACGCACAAATCTGAGGTATACAAATAAGTTTTAGCATACTAAACGGTGAATCAGGTAATAACTGAATATTTTACCAGTTGACCAGTGTCTTTGTGGTTTCACTTCTTCACGGTGAACTGTTGGGTTACGGGTTCAAATGCTGGTGTCCATTAAGGAAAGGTAATTGAAATATTTCTTATTTTGTGTAGGCACATGCGAACAAATCATCTGCTGGTACAGGACCAAGCACATGTGGTCCAAGGAGCCGCAATTTTCATCAATTCCATGGTGCAGCTGGATTATCTGAAGATGCTGTCGTCAAAACATCCAAACCAGCTTCGTCTATTAAACCTGAACCTAACCATGCTCCAGCCAATTCTTACACCAATGACTGGTCACCCCTGGATGATGACATTGTTGTTGCTCTTCCACACGGTTCACCTAATAATAATCCTTCAAGGAAACATGTTGATTCATATGTTTCTGGTATTCTCTATGGCGCCTCCACTAAAAGAAGACTACCAGTATTTGTTGAACTTTGTTCGGAGCAGTCATCTCCATGATTGAAAGGCAAGGTAGAATTGCACATTCTTCTGGTATATCCTCTCAAATCCTTAGCTTGTTCTGGTACTGAAAAACTTTCCCTTTTCTAAAAATGTTGGTTTGCACGTGTTTGTGGACTTCAGTATCCTGATTAATTTCTCAGAACCAGTGTCCATAGCTTTTACGAACGAGGTGATTCATATGCCTATACCATGTAAATAGCTGTTTCACTAGGTGCACCTGAAGGCTATCTCTAGCACTATGAGCTTCATCTCATTCCTCTTAGTCATTGTTGGAACTTAGGATGAATAAGTGAACTTCTATACATATTAGATTGAATAAATAATTACCTCTATTCATTGTTCGGAAAGAACCAAGAACTCTCTCTTTGGTACTGCATTCAGTCTAGTGCAAACAATTATCGTGGGACACTCTTTCAAAAAAATTTATGGTTGTCGTCCAAGGCTAGCGCAGGCACAGAAAGTGCTCTTGGATAATCTTATATCCTTACATTACATATAACTGATTTAACATGACAATGAGGAACTTTCTGCGAACGTTTATTTGCCCGTAGGCTTTTACATTTTGCAATTTACTCCGGCTTAATTTTGTTATTAATATGGTTCAAATTTAAGTTTTTCCTATAATTACAATTGCTGCATTTAATGACTCACACGCTTTCCTTTCCTTTTCTTTGGTTTTTTTTTCCCTTCGAGTGTTTAAATCTCTCATGCAAAGATGCAGAGCCACAACAACGCATAAATTTTTTTTTCTTATCCCTGTGGGGACATTGATCTGAAAATTTTTCTCCTTCTGTCCCTGAAGATTTCTTGATCCTCAACCCGTTTCGTTTTGTTGCGAATTTCGAAGTCGTCACACGTGGGTTGCAGAGTAGCGGTGTGTATTTAGATACCCTTTCACAAATCAATGATGATGTACTTCCTCCATTTATATATATATATATATATATATAAAATCATTTTATACAATTTAAAAAGTTAAATAATTATAATAATTTTGTCTGAAAATAAAAAAATAAAATTAAAATGTCTTATATTAATCAAGAAAGCATGTATTAATTATTTTTTATCAGTGTAAATTATGAGCAGCAATTTAAAAAATTATAATAAATATTTATTGAAATATGTGATTTTGTTTATATAAAAAAATAAAAATAAAAAATAAGAGTTTTTCTTACAAATAAAAATGAAGGGACTATGACTTACAAAACCGTTTTGAAAAAAAATTACCCTATCTCATTTATTTTTCATAAATTCCGTTTAAGCTCTGAAATTTTATCTGATAATAATTTATTTTGAAACTCCATCTAATAATCAATTTTTACTGTAATCTATTTTATCCAAGTAAAATCTAAACACATCATAGAGAGACAAAGTAGAAAAAACCATATTCCCAAGGGCTAATTATCTTCACGAAATGAAAGTTATTTTAGTTTCACTTATGGGGATATCCTTCGCTGGTTTATGTCCGCATTTTATGCTATTAATCAAGGCAGGAAAAGTTGTCTGACTCAAGAAGTCAATAAGAAATTTCATAGGATCAAAAAATGTGGAGCCCTCGGGAAAAAAAAAAGTTATTTAACTTCAACAAGCAGATATTTGGATTTTTCAAGTATTTAAAAAACTATCCGTTTAACAGTTTTTTTCCCAAACTATCAACATTTGTACATAATATATGAACACATTTAAAATCTGATATTACGTTACAATAATAGTTGTATCGATTTATTACATACCTGAATCAAATTTTATAATAAAGGTCAGATTTTTCGTTGGCAAATGCCGCAAGCTGATGAATTAACGCAGCATAGGTTAAAAAAGACCGGAACTTTTCACCAAAAAAAAAAAACACGGGAACATGTATTGACCCTAACAACGACCAAAAGAAAAAAAAAAAAAAACTAAAAATAGTCATCTTTAAAACACACTGATATATCTTGAAGCCTAACTCTTGTCGGAGAGCAGAACCTCGTTTATTAACTTGTCCAGATTCAAGAACGAAGAACCACCAGCTTGAGTAGCCTCTTGGGCCATTCTCTTCCATTTTCTAGCTTGATCCCTCAGCTTCATCCCCTTTCACCCTCCATTAATTCTCTCACAAGCTTCTCTACTTCGTCCCTCTTCACATCCTCACTCTCCATCTCCATCCCACAACTCCATTCGCTGCTCACGAACCTGCGATGCAGCATTTGATCATTGAAGAATGGACAACATATCAGAGGCACCCCATTGCTTATGCTCTCAATTGTTGAGTTCCATCCACAGTGAGACAGAAACCCTCCAATTGCTGGATGTTTCAGAACTTCCTCTTGAGGACACCAACCCAGAACCAGACCTCTCTCTTTGATTTCTCTGTGATTTCTTGTGGCAGAACGGCTTTACCATTAATTACCAAATCACCCCTGATTACCCATATGAAATTCTGCTTGCTGTTCGCTAGCCCCCAGGCTAGTTCAACGAGTTGTTCAGGTCTCATGACTATGACACTTCCAAAGTTCACATACAGAACTGAACTGGGTTGCTTTGAATCAAGCCATTTTAGACATTCTGACTCTTCTCTCCACAGATTGCATTTGATGGACTCACAGTTGGTGTTGTCTGATTTGTTTGCTGTTTGATTTTGAAGGAGCAAATCAAGTGGACCAATTGTGTAGAGTTTTGGGTACATTGAGGAAAGAGCATTCAAGACTTGAGGTTCCAAAGCATCAAAAGTAGGAAGGACGATAGCGGAAGCTTCAGAGGCTGCTTCAATCTGTTGAGGAACAAAGTCCAGAAGGAAATCATTTGGATCTGTGGTCCTGTATATCCCAGGAAGGTCCCTTAGTTTTATATCCTTCATCCCAGGTATCCAATCTATCTTGGTGTCTAAAAACCCATTTGTTAGATAGCTCGCATCTGGAAAAAATTAAAAACGATCAGATTTTTAAGATATAAGGTGAAATCCCTTAGCAACTTTACTAGAGACTATGATATTATGCCAAGTTATGATATAAATCTTGAAAAAATATCAAGTACAACATGAAAATGGACAAGCGAAAGGAAATGAGAAAGCTCTCATAAAAATTCATGGGAAGCTCTTTTCTCAATAAATCCAGTTTGTCATCTATCACATATAATAAAAATATTTTGGATTTGGTTTCTCTCCATTGCATTTTTCCTTGACTATGACTTCTCTACAAATCTAAACCCAGATTTAATTTTAACAATACAGATTAATCTATCAAATCTAAATCATCTAATCTAATTTAATAGTTCAGATTTGCCATAAATCCTCCATTGTAATGGAGGGAAGCCAATTCCAAATATTTTCTCCCCCTTTTCCCCCTTCCTCACATCCATTGTCCATGTACCAAAAATGTAGCCTCAGTGTGCATCTTGATACTTCAACTCAAATTTATGAGGTAAAACTCAGCATTTTATGATAGACTATCATATGATGTCAAGAACCATCTAGTCCAGCGAATTTATGAGTGATTCTAACATAAATCTTGAAGAAAGATCAGATCAAAACAAACCTTTAAGTGGTATTAGACCCCTTTCCTTGAGATTCTTGCATTCTTTGAAGCTCATGAAGGCACAAGCACTGTGAGCCCAAAAGGCCACATTTGGGAGCCCAAAATGTTGAGAAGCTTTAATGGTGAAGGACATGATTCCATCTGAGATTATGCAGGAAACTGGAGGATGATGATGATGAAGCATCTTTTCCAGAAGGTTGAAGAATGGAAGGAAGCAGTGCTTGTCTGTGGATTCACAGAGAGCAGGGATACTCTGTGTTGCGTCCATGGTAGTGACAGGTAGACCATCAGGGATTGTTTCAAAGCAGAAATCTGGGAGGCCATTGAGAGCATCAGAGCCTCTGGACTTGAGCAAGCGCTTGTGGTTGAACTCAGAGTTCACAAAGGTAATATGAAAGCCTCTTGAGTGAAGAAGCTTTGCTAGTTTTAGAAATGGATTTATGTGACCTTGTGTGGGAAATGGGATCACAAGAGCATGGGGTTTCTGGGTTCTGGAAGACACTTCCATGTCTGTTTTATGATGAACCGACTTGGTGTGTCTGTCCTTATAATGGCAAAAAGAAATTGTTTTCTTCATTTTTTTTAAAATAATTGAAATTGTATTTTTGCCCCACCTTTTTTTATGGACTTTCCCTGTGAACAAAGATAACAGGGCCAAAAAACAAAAATACATGTTTACCTGATAAGCTAGATACTGCCCCCCCCCCCCCCCAAAAAAAAAAAGGATAAGGTAGATAACCAATAAAGGCGTTGATTCTAATAAAAATGGCTATGACTTATGAAGCATGAGATCTCAGGTTTGAATTCATATTAATACAAAAACATCTTTAAAAAAAAATTACTTCCAATCTCAATTAAAAAAAAAGAACTACTTCCAATGAAATTTGAAAATGCTCAAATTTGGTTTCATGAGATAGTTATATTTTTCAAAAAACAGAGTAAGACGAAAAAGCAAACTAGCAATTAATTTGAGAGGACGGAGGCATTCCACCCTATAATTAGAGGATATGTTATTTGATAACAGCTGGATAGCATTTTTGTTTAAATTAATTAGATTTCATTTGGTCAAATTTCATTTCGGTTTATTCTGAAATGTTCATTAAAAAGCAATAGTTAATAAAGGTAAAATTTAAGTAGTTAACTTTATATATTTAATATATTTTTATCTAATTAAATTAATACAAGTAAACTTAATATATTAATAATATTAATAATAAGAGTTTGTTATAAAATAAATAATTTATAAAAAAATTTACATGTCTATATAATATTAGAATTAAGTATCTTAAATATAAGTTAAGTATATAATTTTTTTATTAAATAAATACTTTAATAAAAAAAGTCATGGTCGTCAGCATATAAATTGGAATTACAAGAGCATGTGGTTTCATGGTTTTGAAGGATACTTACATTTCCATATCTTTTGACGATGAATCGACTTAGCTGTGCCTGTCTTTATAATGGCCACACATATATTATCTTCTTCTCTGTTTTTTTTTTTTTAATAAAATAATTGAAATTGTAATTTTCCCCTCACATCTTTTCCTCTCATGAATTTTCCTTGTGAACAAAGATGAGCAGGAAAAAAACATGTTTATTATGATAACTAATAAGCCATATTTTTTTTTTCAATCAGTAACATCCAAAAACAAACCAGAAATTAATTTAACAGAGACAGGGCGATTACAGCCAATAGGAGGATATATGTAATTTGTTAAAAGTTGGATGTATTTTCTTTGAATTAAATTTCATTTAACCAATCTACATTTCTCCTTTTTGTTTTTTTAAATCTGAACTGTTTATTGAAAAACAATAGTTAAATAAATATTTTAATAAAAAATCAATTTATCAATAGAGACCATTTACTAGAGTTTATATATAAATATTGTGAATTATCCTGAACAAGCTTGTCAAATTTGCAAGTTAAAGTAAATTTGTGATTGGGATATACATTTGAATCGTAAATTTAAATAATAAATTCATAAAATTTTACTTCTATTAATAAATAACCATTAGAATTACATGATTAAATAACTAAAATATAAAATATAATCATAATTTAATTTAAATATATTTTAAATATAAATAATTAAAATTAAATCCATTTACATTTATAAAAAACTTATAAGTAGATCAGGGACACCACCTAATATGACCCAGATACTGACTTGGCATTTATTTAATGTATATTATATTCTTTTTCTTTTTTGAAAAATAACTACAATCCAATCCAATCTGAACGAGAAATTCTTGGCCATGCCTTCGATTACACCCAATAATTCTTCTGCATCGATAGCCCTCATCGAGTATATCTGCCTACTCCTTGTCTGGAAAGCATACATAGGCTTCCCCACCATAATTAATATGAGACTCCAAGTTATTGGTCAGACCATGAAGCTGATGAGAGCTTCCCATGGCACTTGTGGACACAGAATAAGAATTTCTCGTTTGACATCCGATGATTCACATATTTTACATTTTTTTACATCATTTTTCTTAATTTTTTAGCATCTGTTTTGGACTATCTGGGTTTATTTGGTTAATAATTGTAATTAAGGGGCAAAGGAATATTTTTAGAAAATTGTTGAGATTTACTCCATATTTTTTCAAATTTTATTGAATATTAGTTTAAATCCCTAATTTTTTTAAATAAATGTTTTTTCTATTGTTGAGATTATTGAAAGAAATAAGTTAAGATGTCAAGTAACATAATCGGTCATTGACCTCTATTGAAGTTCTTTACATCTTCAAATACTCTATTCCATAAAATAGATGCATTTCAATCTTGCACTGAGCTTAACATGGTACAACATTTTATTCCCAATCATGATATGGTAGTTATCATGCAGTTTTGTGAAGAAGAATCAAGCTCTGAACAACAAACTTTGATACAATATGTTCTGAAATAAAAAGAGATATGTACATGACACATACTTTGAAGAGCATCCACCATTAATTGCAAAGAAAAAATAAGAAGGTTTTCAAATTTGACATGGACATTTTGAAGAAGAGTTGTGCCCATGTCTCACACATATTGAACATTCATATTGGCCTCAACACAACTTTGAAACACAATCAACTACTTCAAATTTTGCCATGTTAGTGTTGTGTGCCATGTCCATATTTGATAGGAAAATTTTAAGAGATAAGGAAAATTTCCAAACAAATTTACATTTTTTAATGAGACAGGCATTTACATTTTCATTGGCTCAAAAATTAGGAAATACTAACAACTACTAATGTGCAGCCCCTAAACATGCCCTACATGAAACTAATATTTTGCCAGATATATATATATATATATATATATATGTATATAACCTCTGGAATAAGCATTTTAATGAACAAGTGATATGCATTAACACACACACACACACAAAATATAAGCTTCAAAATACAATCTTTTTCTCAGGCAGCAACCAAACTCTACTCCATTAAAGATCTCAACCATGTTTTGAGAGAATGCCAATTGATCCAAATTACTTAGTTGCCTCAACTCACCACACTATCAAGGCCATTTCAACTTTCCATAGCTTAGATTTTGAAATAAAGTAACCTATTGGAACTCTTCTATGGGTTATGTTATCTTCTTGTTTTTTCCTCTTTTTCTGTAAACCGATTCTTATAGTGTGTGTGTGTGTGAATGAATTTTCACATTTTTTTAAAATCATCATACACCCCATTCAAGCTTCACATGTAACACATTTTTTTTTTTATAATTTAACTCAATCATAGTTGGGTTACAACCACCCAACACAATTTTATATCAATAATTTCAATATAAAATATTTTATAATTGGCTTTAACTCACACAATATAACATTTCAGATAAATTTTTACCTCCACATGCCATTAGGCTAAATCACATTTGTCCATCCTTATACTCCCAACAAGTAAACTAAATTACATTTGTCTATCCTTATACTTCCAACAAGTAATATAAATAATTTAGTCAATTTTTAACACAAGTCAGTTATTTGGCCTTATAATCGTGCCATTTTAACCAATCCAAAGTAAACTAAATATTAAAATTACAGTCATCCAAAGTGTACCAAAAATAGAAATAGTTTGAAAGGCATGATTACATTTATATATTCATATAATTATCAATAAACAAAAAGTTCTAATATTGGCAATATAACACATTATAAATCATAAATCAAATACCCAAAAGAGACAGTGGATCTATGCCACTAAGCCTCTGGACTCCTCCATGTGTCACTCGTGGCTCTTCTTCTGAAAATTGTTAACCACATAATGAGACTCAAAAGTCCCAGTAACCATAGCCAATTTATGATAGTGTATACAAACAGTTAAGTGTGTACTTACTAAGTGAGAATTAAAAATAATATAATTCCAACAAAATATAAGAAATATTATCATACACACAAATAACCATCCTTATATCCCTCCATTAATCTCGAGCCGTAGCCCTCACTCGGTGCTAAATTACCGGCCAAAGGTAGATTAGCCTGAGCCCTTACAAGCCACCTATTGAGCTCCAATAGAGGCGTACCACGTGGCACATAAATACAACAACAATAGCAAGTCTCCCAACACCTCCCACAATAATCAAACAAATTCATAATAATATTGTACAATTATATAATATTACAAAATTTATAATTTTTTTAATAATCACCCAATTAACATGAAGTAACACTAATCACAAATTAAAAGCATGGTTACCTTGTGGCTTTTTTAATAAATTATTCCTTACAATTTCTCTCCCACCACAATCTTCACCAATAATACAACCTACAAATAACATATTATTTATAAATATTAGTTTCAATTTTTTGAAACTAATAAAATAATTCTAATAACAGAATTAAAAATATAACATAATTTCTAATCTCAATCTTAATACAAATCTAGAGTCAACACTATTAAGTAAAATTTTTAACTCCTTTTTTAATTATCAATAAACATTAATAATTTAAAAATCAGCTTCTAAACTAATTTCTATTATCAAAATTTTTTTTATTTCATAAATTCGCACCTAAAATATCCAAAAATTAAAAATTGAGTCTCTAGCTTAGAATCATAATCCTATAGCTATAATAATTCATTTCTCATTCCAAATAATCATCTAAACTTCAATAAATCAACATATATTTAAATCTAGTTTAGAATTTGATCCATAAGCCACAAATTCAAAGATCATCAATAAATTTATACTCTAGAACATTTATTATACTACCAACAACCTCAAAAACCATATTTATTCGACATAAATTCATCCCTCTTCCAAATCCTAAATTTTCTACCACCACAAACTCAGAAACCAAAGAAGAAGGATGACTAAAAATTTTTTTTAGAACACTTACTTAATCTTGAAAAGCTTAAAATCACACCCTAAATATCCTATTAAAAACTCTTACCTTAAAAACTCAGATCTCCCCCACCAGCGAAACTAGACACTCTCTCAGCTTCAGCTCACGCACAGGAAAGAATGAAGAAACGAAGGAAACAGGTGAGTTTTTATAAAAACTCAGTGAGTCCCACATCTTTTTTTATTATTTCTTCTTTCCTCTCTCTCCCTTTTTTTTATTATTATAATATATACGTAATGATTGCAGCACGCTCGTTCTTCTTCTTCTTCTTCCCTTTTTTTTAAATACCTTTTCTTTTTTTATTATAATAATAATTTAATAATATTTTTTATTATTTTTTTAATTAATTTTTTAATTTTAATTTAAAATTATATCCTAAGCTAGATTTAATAATCATTTTCTACTAATTTGTTTACCTCTAAATATTTTTTTTAAATTTTTATTAATCTAAATTAACTATTAAAATTTAAATTGAAATGTTACATCACACATATCTAAAACCATCATCTTCACTAAAAGCTAATAAAGAAGGGTCTCATCTCCTTGAATTTCAACCAACCCCATGTCACCTGTCTCCTCTATTTCAAGTTTACAATATAAAAAAAATGACTTTGAAAATGTTTCAAAATAGTTTCAGTAAAATAGCATTAATTAATTTCTACAGAGGAAAGATAAAGGGAATTAGGAAATGGACCCTTACCTTGATGTAGTAGAAGAAAATTAAGAGTAGAGAGGATGGAGCTTGATAGAGGCAGACTCAAATCACAATCAAGCGATGACAAGCCAAGAGCAGCAAACAAGCGACTCCAGAGACTATGCTTGAAGACGAATCAACGCACCTAGGGTTCCTTAGTTCCCCAGCCGCACATGATGACACAGAATGGGCAAAGAAGGTCCTCCTCTTCTTCTTTTTTTTAACACACAAGGGCAAAAGGTAATTTCGCCAAAGCCTGAAATAAAAATAAAATTCCTCTCTTGTACCAAGAGAATTTGAACCGAAGATAGACACCAAAAGAATTTTTACTAAGCATGAAAATATATCCCAAAATTAATTAAAATACATTCAGATTACCTGATTACAAATTTTAATTCAACTTTAATTTTTGGGTCATTACATGAATGAGACCTATCTCATTTACCAAGTATTTTTAATTAGGCTAATATG